AGGGGACGGAACCTAGATGACAGATGCCGTCATCCGCCGGATTACATTGCCGGAGACACTGCAGGAGGGACATTGCGGGAGCGCAGGACAAGGTAAGTCAAGAACAGATGCCGGAGCAGCGCTGCATGGTAAGCCCGAGCGTAGCTCGGGGTTACCGCTTTTGGTACTGAAACTTTACCCCGAGCTACACTTGGGAATACCTCCAGGGAGGTTAAGAAAAGGTGTTATCCACCTGAAACTGTTGTCCTGTCCTTTGGCTTCTATAGATCTATAGTTGGTCTGACTTTTGAAATAAGCCAGTCGTAGACCAATGTGAAACCTTTCGATTATCTAATTTTAAAGAAGGACTTTGGTCCTTTTTCTGTTGACTCTGCTCCTCCTACCATTTTTGTATTTCTGATGCATGTGTGCAAATGTGTGAAAGGGCTTTGCTTAACGTTTAGGCCCTGGCAGAGTACTTTCACACATTTGCAGGCACACAGGGAATTTTCTGGGCATGCCCAGCATGTGGCAGTTTTGGAAGTTTCAAACCAGTGCGCATGCATGGGGAAACCCATTTATGTGCAGATATGCTACAAGGCTCTACCCAAAGCCCTGCAACACATCGCACACAGAGAATATGGGAGAAGGGGGTTGGGGGAGCATGAATGACATCCTTGCCTAGGTTTTGCAGCATAAGCAATATACTAAAAAAAATAAACTTACCACATGTGAGAGAAGGAGCCGGGGCAAATTTAAAGTTAATTTAGTAAAGGTCTGATTTAATGTTTGGTTGATCATGTATACTAGATAACAGTAAATTCCTAGAAATACTGTATTTGAACATGTACCTGCCTTTGGCACACATACAGTATATGTAACTCGTCAACATGTTATGAAACTGACATATACGGGTTTATCCTGTACTTGCTGTGCTTGAAAGGGTCATCTGTATACCCAAAACATTCTTCATCTACAGGAGGTGTGTTACTGGCCAGATCACCAGGTGAATACAGATGGAAAAAGCCTAAAAACTAATGCAGCCACCACATTTAATGATTGGTAAGCTGCAATATATAACATTTTTGATTTTGGGTTTAATACCGCTCTAAAGTACATATGAATGGCTCAATTGCATAAACAGTAAGCATAATTTTTATCTGTCTGCAATTCATATTTTTGCTTTAAGATACAAACAAAATGTTTTATGGCTGCTCTGTTTAATTGAACATCTGTTTGTAAAAGTACGTTTTCCAGTAGGTGCTCACAGAGAAGTTACTCACATCACAGATTATTGATGCAGTGTTTGCCATTTCATTCCAGGTATGACTGAGGAGGAGCAGCTGGCCCTTGCAGTAAGAATTAGCCAGCAAGAACAAGCAAATCATGTCAAACATAGACAAGAAGAAGATGAGCTTTTGAGAAAAGCCATTGAAGAGAGTCTGCATGTAAATATAGAGAACCTTTTTTTCTGAGTGTTCTTAGACAATGCTGTAGAATGGCAGGGACATTATTGTGAATTGTTATAACCCTGATACCTCATTCTGTATTAAAAAATAATGCTAATAACTGTGGAACTTTACCCATAACAACTTCATAAAACAAATGTTCTTTAGCAAGGAACATACATTAATTATGCTACCAAAATTAGTGTGTGCTGTAAATTGACTCCAGCATTGATCCTGTTTCTCCTTGCTGAAGGTTATTTTGCTAAAGACCAGAGCCCCTGAGCAGCAGTAAATCTATAGGCTGTCAGCAGATTGACCTCTACATTTTTGGCAAAGTATACAAAAATAGAGAGCAAATGAGCATGTGCAGAGCAGGGTGAGACAGTGTATTTCTAGATTTTAAAAACCGTATAGGCACTTATTTTTTAATGTTTATATACTTATACCTATAAAAGGAGCCAGCCTGAAGTGGTCTAACAGGACTTCATTTTCTCACTGAAAGTTTCACTTTAAAAGAATGCACATTCCCTAGTTTCTTACCTTAGTATAGGTAGTTTCTTTGAAGGTTTCCAATGAGCAGCATGGAAGTTGCCCTCCTGGAATTGACCATATTACCTGTATATGTCATTATTTTGGTCAGTTGGTTTTAAAACAAGACTCTGGGCAGTACTAAAAAAATTATATTTGTCCTCATACTGATAAGAAATATACTGCTTGTTTTTTCCAGCAAATGATTTAACAGAAAGTATCTTTGGATTCATTCTGTCAGCTGATGAAGCAGGTCATGTCCTGCTGTCTTTAAACCATTTCTAATCTAATCCATGATCCTCATGTTTGCTGTCAGTGTAATGCAGCCTAGCATGACCAAGCAGTCTAGACCTTCCTGCATTTTAAGCTGATTGATTGATTGGCTGTAGCCTGCAGCGCTGATTGAGCAGAAATGTTAAAAACAGGCTGGTTGAACAGAAGTTGATTAGAAGAGTCCACAGTGCCCATACATGGATTGAAATCCGTCCTGTTCCTTCTGAACCAGCCAAATTTTGATCCATGTGTGGCCAGCTTAACAGAACAGCTCTCAGGTTCTGCATTTCAGAGGTAGATAAAGTTGTAGATTGGCCTGTGAGTCTTGCTTTTTCCAAACCTGTAGTACAATAATGGATATTGAAATACCACAAGTGGCAAAATTGTGTTTATTAGTATAAGCTCAGACTGGATGTCGCTCCACTTCCTTAAACTGAACTTCTCCAAAACCGAGTTTCTTGTCTTCCCCCCCCAGCCCGCACACCACCCCCCCATTGACTTCTCCATCATGTCCAACAACGCCACCATCAAACCCGCCCCGCAGGCCAAAGTACTTGGTATCATTCTTGACTCTAACCTATCCTTCCAGCCCCAAGTCCAATCTTAACAAACTCATGCAGACTCCACCTCCGCAACATCGCCAAAATCTGCGCGTTCCTAACCCCAGAAACCACTAAACAGCTCATCCACTCCCTCATCATATCACGACTCGACTACTGCAACTCCCTCCTTACTGGCCTGCCTCGCCACTGGCTATCCCCGCTTCAGTCGATCCTGAACACGGCTGCCAGACTCTTTCACCTTTCCAACCGCTCCATTTACACCACCCCCCTCTGCCAATCCCTCCACTGGCTTCTGATTGCGCAACGGATCAAATTCAAAATCCTAACGCTGACGTACAAAGCTGTCCACCAGACTGCCCCGAACTACATCACTGACCTAATATCCAAGTACCGCCCAGCACGCACACTCCGCTCCTCACAAGACCTCCTTCTCTCTAGTTCCCTGGTCTCCTCCTCCCATGCCCGCCTCCAGGACTTCTCCAGGGTGTCACCCATCCTCTGGAACTCCCTGCCCCAACCCATCAGATTATCACCTACTCTCCTCACCTTTAGGCGCACCCTGAAAACAGACCTCTTCAGGGAAGCCTACCCCACCCCCTGCTAACTTGCCGACCTCCTCCACTCTCCTACCACTCCATCCCCCACAGCTTTCTCCTCCTGTGCCACCATCCCCTCCCTCCTAGATTGTAAGCTCGAAAGAGCAGGGCCCTCGATCCCCTCATGTTTTGTATTGTATTGTTATTGTTCTGTCCCCCTTGGTAATGTACAGCGCTGAGCGAACTATTGGCGCTTTATAAATACTGTATAATAATAATAATAAGCCATAGATTTAGTGGAAGTTTTTTTAGCTGCTGACTGTAAAGTGTCATTAAAGCTTCATCTTTTTTAAATTAAAATAACAAGCATGTCATAATTACCTGCTCTGTGCAATGGTTTTGCACAGAGCATCCCCAATCCTCTCTTTTCTGGGGTCCCCCACCGGCGCTCCTGGCTCCTCACCCATCTGAGAGCCCACCATAGGAAGCTGCTTCCTATGATGGCCACTTGTGTGGACTCGCTCCCAGGCTGGGCTGTTTGCATCTTTTCAGATATACACTACCAGCCTCTGCCCTGCCCCCCATTCTTTGCTCACTGGTTTGACTGACAGCATCTGGATCCAATGGCTCCCTCTGCTCTCAGTCAAGCCTGTGAGAGCCAGGAGAGGAGCTGCTGTACACATGCACAGCGTTAAACCGAGATCGGGCTTAGGTGAGTATTTAGGGGCAGCTACTCTTAAAAGGTTTTTTGCCTCAATGCAGAGAATGCATTATGGTAAAAAAAAAAAAAAAAAACAACTGATACAACCACTTTTTTATATGTATTTTTATTGCTTTTACCATCCACAAACAGGGATTGAAAACCCTTCCAAAAAGTTATTGTGTCTGCAATGATAACATTTTTGATTGCTTAACAATAAGCTGTCTACATTTTTTTCAGAGTTGTAAAAGTCCTGATAAATCAACAGATGTCGCAGTTCATGAACTAACAAAGGAGGCATCTTCTAGTGAAGACGATATAGCTATAGATGAACAACATAAAGAGCATTTGTCACAGCAGTCTCAAATTTTAGGTCAAGACTCTCCACAAAACCCCAAGGTGCTTTTGAAACGGTTAAGTCAAGACATAGTGGAAAGTTCCAGTGTCATTTTGTCTCCAAACTGCAAAGATCCTTTACCATGCACAGAAAGCTGCAAAGCATCTTCTTTGTCTCAGAGTATTAGTAATGACTTTGACTGTATGTCACCGTCTAAAGCTTCTTTAAGTCCTGTTTTTCCAGTCAAGTCTCCATATGCACATAAAATCTTACCCTGCAGATTATTTCAGGACAGAAGTCCAAGTGGTGTGAAGTTATCAGAAGGAATAGAAGATCTCCCTTTACATTGTTCAGAAAGTACACCGCTAGATTCTTCTTCATTGATATCTGTTTCAAATAAGTCGGAACTCACAGAAGACACAAATTCATTGCCTAACGTCGGTGTTTGTTTGAAGGGGTCAAGCATAGGAAATTACCTCTGTGAATAATAGGGATGCTCTTTCTAAGCATACCTGTCAAAGTTCTGCTTATAAATTTGCCAAAAAGGATCAAAATGACAGTAGTGTCCATTACTACTGGGGTATACCTTTCTGTCCAAATGGTGAGGATCCTAATGCATATACTCAGGTCATACTTTGTCAGCTGGAGGTGTATGAGAAAAGTTTAAAAAAATCTCAGCGACAGCTCTTAAAGAAAACTGAATACGGTGAACCAATTGATCTAGCTGCTTCATCAGAAAACAATGAACATGCAAAAGACAACCAGGGCAGTGTCAGCCAGGAAGATACAGAGGAGATTATAGAGGGTGGTGACCAGCAAAAGCCACATCAGAGCGAGATGGAACCTGAAGAAGAGTCTGATAGTTCAGACATACAGCCTGCTCCAAGCAAGAGGTTAAAGGCTACTTGTAGCCAGTTCCAGGAGGATGACCATTCCTGTCAATCTGAAGGGCAAATGGAAAGTCAATCAAAT